ATGGAGGATTTTATCTCAGCTTCAAGAAAAAGTTCTTCCCATTAGAAATAAATGGAAAGATTGTCTTTCACATATATTTAGAAGAAACATGCAGCCATTGTTGAATTGGGGCACAGATGATTAGTAGTTCAAGTGTTTACCTAGCTAGTCCTATCCTTCTTTCCCATATAGCTAGCTGAACTCTATGCCTAAATATTGTCAATTTAAATCCCACCAGAAAATAAGAATGTTAAAAGAAGACTAAACTTAAAAAAGAGTGTTCTCCTACATCTCCCTTATCATATATTATTAAGAGATCTTCATAGAACTTTTTGTACTTTAATTGGTATTTTTCTGTCCTGAAAAATATGATGTATTCTAACCTTGGCTATTTCATTATTCATTCTTGTCTGCAAGCAATTTAGGAATGAGTACACTGATGGCAAGTGTTGAAGAATTGGTAATGTAGGTGTTCTCCTCATTACATCCTTGTTTCACTAACTTCTTGAGCTGTTGAGTCCTGACTCCAATTACACTGCATTTCCAGTTGCATCATTAGCCTTTCTTATTCCATTACAATCTTGATACTTCTGTTCTCTTTTGTCCTTCTTATAGCCTTACCTAAATCTATTTTTGAATTTTCTTATATATACATATTATAATACTGAACTGTTATCATTATTATTTTTGTGAACAAATAAGTTTCTGTTCTACTTGCAGAATTTAGTTGTAATCTGACACTTCAACCACTTGCCACATTAAACCACATATACTATGGTACCATATCAAAGCAGACAATATTTTTGCAGGCAAAATCTGCACTTTTAATCTCTTTTTTTTTAAAGGCTACCAAGGAGCATAAGCATAGGGAAGATAAGAGTACATTTGGGGGGAGTTAATTTAAAATATTAAATGCAACACAAACGTAACACACTATTCTTGTTAATATTTTGTCCCAATCTGAAAAAAGGGATAGCAGTATATATAAAGTGCTGTTTTGCTGCTAATTTTCAGTGGTACAATCTTATCCAGTAGGCCTTCAGAGTTGCTAATAACAGGCTGGGAGGTACCTATGGGCAGTAGATTTACTATCCCATTTTATATAATCATTTCTTAAAATGAGTGCTGAAGATGAATGGTGTCTTTGTGTATTTGTATTTGTGTATTTACTCAAAGAACTTTGAACCACACTTACAGGTAATTTCAAACTTCTTCCCAGATTGCGCATAAATAGCTTACAGTAGAAACTTATAGCAAGAATAGAATAGAATAGAATAGAATAGAATAGAATAGAATAGAATAGAATAGAATTTTATTGACCAAGTGTGATTGGACACACAAGGAATTTGTCTTGGTGCATACGCTCTCAGTGTACATAAAAGAAAAGATACATTTGTCAAGAATCATAAGGTACAACAATTAATGATAGTCATAGGGTACAAATAAGCAATCAAATCATATTAGAAAACAGTCAATATAAATCATAAGGATACAAGCAACAAAGTTACAGTCATACAGTCATTAGTGGAAGGAGATGGGTCATAGGAACCATGAGAAGATTAATAGTAATGCAGATTTAGTAAATAGTTTGACAGTGTTGAGGGAATTATTTGTTTAGCAGAGTGATGACATTTGGGAAAAAACTGTCCTTGTGTCTAGTTGTTCTGGTGTGCAGTGTTCTATAGCATCATTTTGAGGGTAGGACTTGAAACAGTTTATGTCCAGGATGTGAGGGGTCTGTAAATATTTCCACAGCCCTCTTTTTGACTCGTGCAGTATACAGGTCTTCAATGGAAGGCAGGTTAGTAGCAATGTTTTTTTCTGCAGTTCTAATTATCCTCTGAAGTCTGTGTCTCAGGGGTGAAATCAGCAGGTTCTGACAGGTTCTGGAGAACCAGTAGCGGAAATTTTGAGCAGTTCAGAGAAACGATAGTGGAAATTTTGAGTAGTTTGGAAAACCGGCAAATACCACCTCTGGCTGGCCCCAGAGTGGGGTGGGAATGGAGATTTTGCAATATCCTTCCCCTGGAGAGGGGTGGGAATGGGAATTTTGTAGTATCCTTTCCCTGCCATGACCACCAAGCCACACCCACAGAACTGGTAGTAAAAAATTTTGGATTTCACCACTGCTGTGTCTGTCTTGGGTTGCACAACTAAACCAGGCAGTTATAGAGGTGCAGATGACAGAGTCAATAATTCCTCTGCAGAACTGTATCAGCAGCTCCTTGATAAGATAAGATAAGATAAGATAAGATAAGATAAGATAAGATAAGATAAGATAAGATAAGGCAGGATACAAGAATAGATGGAAACACAATGAATTCAGAATTTCTATCTAACTTTCTATTAATAAAGTAAATAAGATGATTCTGAACTAGATCTCTGTCAATGACTGTTATGGATCTGGCCAAATTCAATAGCTGTTTGAATAACAGCCCACTGCTGAAATTGCAAATAAGTGCATATACTTTTATGATTTTATACTTTCCAGGAGACCATATTCCTCAGAAGCAGACCTGTAAATGTCATTATTGGCTAGCAATCTGATGATGTTGGGAAATGTAGTTTGGTAGTGTCCAGAGTTCAGAGGGTCCTCAACCCTGTCATACATTAAGATTAAACCTGCCCAAATGATGCCTTCCAGATGTGCCAGATTCAAATTCAATAATCCCCAGTCATATACTTATTAGATGTGTATAGTTCTACACATCTGGGAGCAGAAATCCTTGCTTTCAGGCTTTATCAAATGTTTTAGAGCTTATACTGCAGTCTTTAAACACTCAATAGTTTTATCACATTTTAATCCACATTTTATTGCATTCTGCAGAGCTTTAACTTATTAAGATAGCCCTAAGAACTATTATGCCCCTCCCGTCTTTCTTTTTCCCAGTGAACTATATTGAGATCTAAGATTTATTTCAGGATTGTATCTAGAGGGTAAATCTGTAAGTTTAATATTCTTAGATAAACAGGCAGTTTTATTTCTATTAAAAATTCTGTCTACTGACTTGCTGTTGTCTGCTTATAAAGGCTGTTGCTACATGTCAGCTAGCCTCAGGATTGCTTAAATAGAAAAGAAGTTCCAAGTAGGAAGATATGAGATCCAGCCAAAAAACTTATTTGAAGGACTTTATGACAAATTTAATTTTTTCTCATTGCTGTAAATTTATGTAAAGAATCAATTATATATATATCTTCCAGTTGAATGAATCTTTTAATATTTATCATAGCTATTTACATTTTAAAACATTCATTCCAGATGTAAGATCATAGATTGGATTAAAGTTAGTAGGCAGATGAGAAAAGGCATGGGAGAACCATCAGATTGAGGGCTGATGGCTCATATCCCTTGAGCCCATTGTCTTGGAATATGTGAACAAATGATTGTATATTGTTCACAATGGGATGAAATCAAAGGTTCATGCTGGAAGTTAAGCACTGAATATAGAGTTTTCTCATAAACCATATATAAATTCCCATAAATTTTGGAAAAAAGAAAGAAGCAAAGTTTAAATCAAAGATGATTTAATCTCTAGCTTTGTTAATATAAGGATTAGGAACTCACATTAGGCATCTCTTAGCTAACTTGATTGGTCTCAAAAAGATAAGGGGAAATTGAATCTATTTGGAATGGGAAACCAGGTAATCCCAGAAGTGTAAAATGGATTAGGAAACTGAAAAAAATCTTATGGCGAAAAGGGACAAATGACAGACCTGCTATGATTTATTATGTGTTAATTATATATGTTGCCCAACTCCTAAGGCTCAAGTCAGTTCTCAGTAATAAAATTAAAACATGAATATCTCTGAGCAAATTCAAAAGAAGAGGAAAAAATCAATCCGAATCAATTCCTTTTCCGCCAAAACACCAACACAGAACTACAAATTTTTTTTAAAAGTTTTGTATCTTTTTTAAAAGCTTTTTTAAACAAAAAGCTGCAAAGGACTTTACAAGTTAAGAAGTCACACATTGAACTGGAACTAAAATTCCAGTGGTAATCCATACACTGGTTGTTAAATTAGTGTTATCTTATACTGCATTTTGTACCAACGCAATATTTCTCAGGTTGTTTGGAAATATTAACAGTGCTCTTCAATTTGTAGTGTTGAAAGCAGAGTCACTATGACAAAGACTTCAATTAAGGCTGTGACTGCTACACCTACGTAATGTGGCCAAAGCTCATGCCTAAAGAAAATTACACCAAGAGAACATCTTTGTGGGGGTGACTTTATCTTTTAGTACAAATGTGCTTTTCTTGCTTGCAGGGAACCTGTGAGCCTGCTGCCAATTCTTATTTTTCCAAAGGGAGCTCTCGCATTGCTGCTTTGCCTAGCAAGCTTTTATAAAACTTTCCATTTTACACAGCACCAATATAATTAATTTGCAGCCACACCAGTCTTTTATATGTATTCTTTGTTAAGTTTTGCTTTTTAAGAATTCTCCCATGAGTGTTCTTTAAGCCTGCCTTAGAGCCCTACTGGAAATCCCATCCTTTTGTTTTAAGACTTTAGGACAAATTTCATTTGCTTCTTTGTACTCATTGTTGAATATGCATTGGAGTATTTTCCTTTATTACTTTACATATTCTGTAACTCAGCTCTAGCAATGAAAACATTACAGACATTAATGACCCCGAGGGCACGTATTTTTCATTTATATTGTAACAGCAGCTTGAAAATGTGCTGATTGTTTTACAAATATTAGCTAATATTTTTCACACTTAACAGAATGTGTTTACTTTCCATTGTTAAATGTTTTTCAAGAAAAGAAAGACCATGAACAGATGTTCACGTGAAACAGCTCCCCAAGAATCCTCTCTCCTTGTTACTTAACTCCGTGTACATATTTCAACCAGTCATCCAGTAGCTGACATTATAGTCTTCTGGCTGCTACAAAGAAGATAGGAAACCAAGCATGTTTCTCTCTTTTTCCTATAGAATTGCTTGCTTGCATGTTTGACTACAGGGAACAGAAAGAACAGAAACAAGGAGGAATCCACACTGATGTGAACACAGACAAGTCAGGGGCCATATTTTATTTTTGTCACTTATTTTTGTCACTCTGTATTTGTAGAGACAAAAACAAAAATGGTTACAGTTATGGAGTACTTTAAGTGGCCATACAAAACCTGTCCCTCTTGAGAATCTGGACTTTTGTTGTAGGTGAGGAGGGTTATTTAGTTTGGAACCATCTTCTTCTCCAAGTAGAATATACCATCCAACATGGGTTAGCTGGGACTGGATCCTCCAGATGTCCATGCTTTTTAACTGTCTTCATTGTATATTGTAAGACATCCAGAGTCTTTTGGAATGGGTGGTCATAATAGCTTTAATAGATAAAATAAATAAAAAATGTACAAGTGATCAGGGAAAATAATTTTCTCAAAGGTAGACCCCTTACTTTGGAACAGGTAACATGTTGATCCCACCTTTCTGTAAGTCACTCAGAATCCTTAGATTCTAGTATTCAAATTCTTGTTATACACAAATAAGCAAATTCTCCAGTTAGCAGCTCAGACAACATAGACTTTGTTTAACCTGGGGCTAATTTTAATCACTTTAGGGGTAATTATGGTAAATGGTCCAATTAACCTGGGTTTTCTCTATACACAACATATTAATGCTAACCCCATGATCCAATTAAAAGTGTCATGGAAATAAGGTCAGCATTAACTACATAATACCCTCTTTTCATTTCAAATGTTGTCTTCCATGTGTATTCTGTCATTGACATCAAAGTGGATATGACATGTGTTTAGCAAAGGAAGATACACTTTTTAATTGCATGGATAGGCAGCATATAATTTCATAATCACTTTCATTTAGGATGTCATTTTACGTTTTTTTTCTTGGAAGTGAAATGAAAGTGCATGAAAAAACATAGAATGACTGAGAATAAAATAACAACATGGGAACCTTTTTGAATGTGTAATGGAATGTTTGTACTGTCTTATATGGAAGGAATAATCCTATATGTGTTAGAGTTTAGGCAAAGTTTATTAGCAAATTCCGATTGATTATGTCAAATTCCAAAGTTGTATACCAATGTCAGCTCAGTAGAAAACTTTAGTTGGGTAAGATAATTACTTGTACCTGAATTTTGAATTCAGATTGAGCTTTAAATTTATGAACGTAAACTAGCAGTACCAGATGCTGCTCCATTCCTGTAGACAGCTTCAATCCTTGGAAAAAGGATTAAGAATAACATAGAATTGGAATGATAGCACTATCAACAAAGAGCAGGTCAAATCTTATCTCTGTGTCAAAAAGAGTTGTTTTACCAGCTCTGCAGAAACTCAGCAGAGAGAGTTGGTGGTCCATTTGTGCAAGGGAACTTGTTCCCTCCATTGAGAAGGATTGGTTAGAATTGACTCAGGGACAGTTAATTTATTAACAAGCTTTTCCTGATTTCACTGAATGGACAAATTCACTTCTAAGAAGGTGGTGTTGAAGATATTCAGGCTTTCAGTCCTGTAGGGTTTTGCTGATAATAGCACCTTAAACTGTATCTGGTAATTAGCTGGCCAGCACTGCAGCTTCTGAAGGAGAGGTATTGCTTGGGCAAATTTAGATGCACCTGCATAACTACTCAGAAAGTTGAAGGATGTGACAATGAACTGTCTTCAGGGACAGCCTTGTATAGAGTGATAGTCCATCTATTACTGTGTGCAATGCCTTCTGATCCAGAAAAAGAAGTAACTTGCACACTAGATGTACTTATGCAAAGGTTCTCCTGCTTGGCCTCTACCTGGTATCCAAGCAGGAGCCACAAGTCCAGAACTCCAAGATTGTGAACCAGTTCCAGACAGCGGAGCATAACTCAAGCCAAGATATAGATGAAACATCTAGATTCAGAAGACCTTTCCTAATCAGAACCTAGCCATTTCCAAACACCTGGTCAAGACTTTTACCACATCATCTGTCCAGGACACAGATGAAGAACATCAGCTCATCGATGATTCCTCACCAATTTATCAATAAATCAATAAATTATTTCACTGAGTGGCTTCCTATAGATGTGGAATAGTAGAAAGAAATGGATAAGCCCTCTGGCAACTCAGAACATTTGAGAGTTTGACCTCTTTCCTACCACTGATTGATACTTGATGCTCAGGAAGAAAGAAAAACACTATAACATAATGTCCCATTCCCAGTCCTAGTTACATATCCCCAAAGGAAACCATGGCCAATGGTATTAAAGGCTTCTGACAAATCCAGCAAATCCAGAAGACGATTGTTTAAAATAGCTGGGTCAAATGATGGTTTCTTGAGGAAGTGATGTACTACCATTTTTTCAAAGTTGAAGAATAAATGCCCCATTCTCTCAGGGATGTATTGACCTACACCAGTGGTGGGTTTCAAATTTTTTTACTACTGGTTCTGTGGGTGTGGCTTGGTGGGCATGGCATGGCATGGCTTGGTGGGTGTGGCAGGGGAAGGATACAGTAAAATCTCCATTCCCATCCCATTCCAGGGGAAGGATACTGTAAAATCTCCATTTCTTCCTGATCAGCTGGGACTTGGGAGGCAGAGATTAGATGGGGGCAGGACCAGTCAGAATTTTTATGACCAGTTCTCCGAACTACTCAAAATTTCCGCTACCAGTTCTCCAGAACTGGTCAGAACCTGCTGAAACCCACCTCTGACCTACACTCTCATTTTTCCTATTTTAACCAGTCAGGAGAGACAATGATGCAATATACAGGTAATCAGTTTATAGGATTCACTTCCTCTAGATTCATAAGCTGAAACTGATCATAGCTAATTTTGCATGATGGTACCTCTGTTACCTCACTTGGCCAGATTGGCTGGCATCCAATTCTGATGGTGATCTATACTTTCTTTCCAAGCATCTGTAAAGTTACCCTGTCTTATTTATTTAAGCTATGCTTTTTACAAATAATGACATATTAGTCATGCTCATACAATATTCATAACATACTCATACATTAATATGGAGATAGATCCCTACAAGTGGTTCTGGCAGCACAAAATTACTTTAACTGGTCATAAACTATGATTTTGAAGAATGCAAAGAGAAATCTCACATTTTTCTGAGAATACTGACAAGACAGTAATGGACATGGTTGGGTATTGCAGGCAATCAATGTTAGGGAGGTTTATTCTTGGCTGTCAAAACTTGCCACTGGTTCTGTAATGGAGGACTTTAGTTTTTGCTTTAGAAGTTCAGGCTGAACATAAAGGGGAGGGGAGGCAAACAGCATTTTGTCATGCAGACTTCAGAACAAAATTGTAACATGATGGTTTTACTATCTAATTCATTGTGGCACAATCAATTTATCTGTCAATTATTTTCCGGTAAACAGTGTCTATTCCTAGAGCAATGTAAAACAGCTCTTTGTGAAGTTTTATTGTGAAGTTTTTGGCCAGCTTCAGTGCTAAGGCAATTCACTTTTTGCATATCAAATTAAGTGAGTATCACAGTTCTGATTTATGTGAAATTTGCAACAGAGTCAAATTTTCTTTCTCTGTGTGTGTTCTTATTCATCTAAGATAACAATATCTGGGCTGTAAAAGTCAGAATAAACTCTAGATGACACCAAAAGGTGAATTTTCTACTTATCTGTATTTTTGCAACCACGTAAGGCTAGTGCAACAGGAACAGTTTTCTGTGATTCTGCACTTATCTGGATTCTGCAGGATCCAGATATGGCACTCTTAACTTATTCAAAGGTGATACATTTATCCATTTATTTTCTATCATACACTTTCACATCCTTGCACTTCTTAACCATATTTAATCTATTAATCCCATTTTCTGGATTCAGCAACACAATGAACAATATATTACACAAGCTAGGTTTGCTCAATGTATTGGGCTAAATGTGGCCAGCTAACCCTAACCCTAACCCTAACTGTACAAATGGCATTCATTTGTTCTGTGAGTATCAGACCAATGCAGGTTAGTGTGCATCATTTAAAACAAAAAAACTATGGTGCTCTCTCTTAGAGATATTCTACTTTTAATCCTCTTTCAGATAATTCTGTGAAGAGATAAAACAGTACTCTAAGCCTTTTATGAAAGATACAGAGCCAATGAGTAATTTGAATAATCTCCTTGATTTTAAGTCTTCAATAAATTTCCCAATTAATACTTACATAAGTGTTAAATGGCAATTAGTAGGTGCTCTCATCACAAATAAGGTTTCTTTTTAGTCTTTCATTTACCAGTTCCATTTCTCATAATAGATGGAATTGGGCAAACCACAGTGTTTTCTGCATTTGGGGGTCAGCCTTAATGAACTAAGGGATAAGCCTATAAGAATCTAAAGATATCAGTAAAATAAATTGTTCAGGATCTAGAGAATTATTAATTCACACTTAGCTATTTGAAAGATGGAATAGCTACCCGAAAAGGTACCTTAAAATGAAAGCTAATATTGGAAAGTTAATCAGGATTAGTCAAATTCATTACAGAATGAGATGCTGATAAGGTTGAAATGTATTTATTTACTTTGTCATCCACAGCCATCAAGGGATTTTTTAGCAGCTTACAACATCCTCCAGGACCTTATATTAATGTAATTTTGTATATTCCTGACTTTAGCATTATGGATCACTTAATATCTTTAACTGAGATACTATCTTTAACTTGATAGTAGATGTCTTAAAAATAATTAAAGAAAAGAGAATGGAGCAGCAAGTTCAAGCAGAGCACAAGTATAACAAAGGAGAGTCCAGTTAGAAAATGGAAAACAACAATATTGTGTGAAAGAAAAAGAAATGAAGTCACAAGAAGAATGAACTATATAAACTTCAAGCATATAAATAAAAAAAAACTTGCATATTGTTCTTCAGCCAAGGCTAGAATAATTCTAAACCATTGTTTTATACATCAATCCATGATTTATTGAATAACCCTAAAATGTAAACTAGATGGCTTGTAGCAAGTATGAGGACAGAGCTATAATATAATATGGATGGGGTCATGGAATAGTCTTCAATTTTTTGTGTTTTTCAAGAGAGACATTTTTTTTCATCTTTAAAACTATATTAATCCAATGTTCTAACACCATTTACATGAGAGTTCCATCAACTTTTCAATAGCACATTAAGAACCACACTACAAAAAATGATTTGTCTAGGATCCATTTGGCAGAAGTTTCAGGATTTAAGGAAAAACTATGTAGTCTAAGCCTTAAATTCTTCCTTTCCAAAATGCTGAAATGGCTTAAATGTGGGGCCCTTTCCAGTCTAGGGTGTACTTAGGGACCACAAAACAGATGTAGATATACTGCATGCTTTCTTGGGCAAGTTGCTTTGGAGGAAAATAGGTTGCATTAGAACTACAGAAAATGATTAAAAA